TATGTTCTCTTAACTTTTTGAACCATTCTTCTGACTTAGCCATACTGTATTTCTAACATGCAGTCAAACGTGACACTCAAGTATTTCATGTGTTCTAGCTCAAGCACACCTGGAGCAACTAATGAAGCCCTTGATTAGTTGCATCAGGTGTGCTTGAGAAAGATTTTGCAGATGTGCGCTGTTGTGAGGGATTCTAATCAGGGGGTTGAATAATTTTGAGACTGAACAAGTCATTAAAAGTTGTATTTTCAGTTGAATTTGTGAAAACCACTTGAAACATTTGTTGTGTTGAGCTATTTCAATTACTTTTGTTTGATTTTTTCATTGCAAAGAGCTGAAGGTCTATACATTTTGCCAATAAGCCTGATTTGCAACGGGTGTTGAATAATTTCAATTAAAACTGTATTTGAAATAGAATTTCATAGAATTGCAACATTGTTTTTTTACTGTCACTATTGATCAACTGAATGCATCCTTGCTAAATAGAAACTATTCATTAAAAAATATCTTTCTGACCCCAAACTTTTGAATGGTATAGTGTACAATACGTATATTTACGCACAAAGAAAGTGAATTAAACAGCATTCATAAACATTCCCAGAATCATCCCTGTTTATTTGGTGCACCGGCCGTCTAACGACATCCCTTACGCCACGCTGGAGGAGGAGCTGCTGGGAGACTTCGTGAAGTACTCTGTGAAGGATGGGAAGGAGATCAACCTGATGCGCAAAGACTCTGAGGCGGGACAGAAATGCTGTGCCTTTCAGCACTGGGTCTACACACAGACAGAGGGCAACCTGCTGGTCACCGATATGCAGGGTATTTAATGTACTTCAATTTTACCACGTGTTGCACATCATGACATGTACAGTATAGATGAAGGTTGTAGATGGAGTGAAGCAGAACATTTTTAAGATTCACAATTTTTTTCCTTCATGAACAGGTGTCGGTATGAAACTAACAGATGTTGGGATTGCCACCTGTAAAAAAGGGTAAGTTATTATAATCAAATATCTAACAAATTTATCCTTACTTTTTATGTTTTAATAAATATATTGAAATATGTCAATATAAATATATCTAATAGAAATCTATATAATATAATAATAATAGTACATTATTTAAATATCCGTTTCATATTTTAATATGTTTGAATTGAGATTGTGAGTTTTTAATGATGTATCGTGCAGCTCTAATATAATAAATTATAATAACAACAAAGTATTTAAATATCCCTTAGCCTACTTATATTTAAGTGAAATTTAAATATTTATAATAAAAGAAATGTGTAGTTATTATGAAAGCAGTGATATTGATTTCTATTGGTGCAGCTATAAGGGATTCAGGGGAAACTGTGCCATGTCCTTCATTGATCAGTTCAAAGCTCTGCATCAGTGCAACAGCTACTGTGAGCTACTGGGCCTGATGTCCCTCCAGCCCAAGCCAAAACGCACCGTTGCCCCCCCAAAGCCAAAGACACAACACCTGCCAAAGAAAAAAACCTTCGGCCCTGTTCTGAGTGGCAAATCCTGATTGGACAGAAGCCCTGAACATTTGCTTGTAGGATAAGTAGTGTTTGCAGGTTTTAGCAATGAAGTCTTGCTTAGGGACAACTGTGTTTCTGAGATGTTTCTTTAAATGTAAGATGACATTCATCTGTAAGGACATTAGGGAGGTTACTTCTTTCTTGAGAGTTCTTTGTGCTATTTTAAATGAGCTTATTGCTTGTATTTATTTTTTGTAATGTTTTTTAAGGGGTGAGTGGATTGTGAAAGAATTGATGTAATATTTTTTGTTAAAATCAAAGAAATATAGAAAATTATCAGCATAGGGTTTTCATCCTGAATTGCTCTGTTGAAAAGTTCATAATAGTGCCAGTGGCGCTGCCATGTTTCTTTATTATTAGCCTACTGGCACTATTCTATAATAGACATGCCAGAATAATAACAAAGAACTGGAAATGGTTCCTTATGTTATTATGAATGTTTGTTATGATAGTACGTAGAGTTTATCTAATTGTTTAAGCTTGATGAAGTTCACCCAAATTCTGTCATTAATTACTCACCCTCATGTTGTTCCAAACTCGTAAGACTTTTGTTCATCTTTATAACACAAATGAAGATATTTAAAATGAAATCTGAGAGATTTCTGTCCTTCCATTGACAGACTATGCAACTACCACTTTGAAACTTCATAAAGAGATCATAAAACTAATCCATATGAATCGAGCAGTTTAGTCCACTTTAGGGTTTTATTCACATATAAACATTGATCAGTTAAAATAAACAGAAGCTCAACCCGAACCTGCTTGACACATGAGAGCAAAAGTCATTGGTTCTTGCAGAAGGTCAAGCGAACATGTTTGAGCCTCTGTTTACCACAACTAATGTGCGAGTTGATGAATGTTCATCATATAACGTGATCGTTTCTCTTCAAATTCTGACTAAACCGCTCAATTCATATGGATTAGTTTTACGATCTCTTTATGAACTTTTTGAATTGTCAAAGTGGTAGTTGCGTAGACCTTCAATGGAGGGACAGAAATCTGTCAGATTTCATCAAAATATCTTCATTTGTGTTTCGAAGATGAACGAAAGTCTTACGGGTCTGAAACGACACGAGGGTGAGTAATTAATGACAGAATTTTCTTTTTGGGTGAACTATCCCTTTAAATAGATATTTACTTTATGAGTGAGATGAATGTACAATAAAAATTGTTAATATAACTGCTAGAATTGAATGTTGGAAGCTGCTCATTTTCAATGTTAAAATATTTCATTTTTATTTCATTGACTTTTCATTAATAATATTTCATTTAGTTTTACTTTAATGATCTATGCTGTTTGCCTCTGGGAAGGTAGGATAAGGTGATGAATATGATACTATGGAAAAGTTTGTACACTTGCCCTAGTAAACAGCTGTTGACTTGCCTCAGTAAGAATGACAATCCTCCCACCTTCACGTTTCACATCATCCTTTGAAAGTCAAATGACTTATTGCCTCATTACTATATATAAACACACACGTTTGAAGCAACATATTTGTCCTGTTAATGAACCGCACAAATGAATCACCTGCAATTAAAAACTGTGATGTTCGCTGCTTTATGCAAATCTAGATAGTCTTATATTTAAGTATTAGCTTATGGATTGAAGGTCATAGGTTATACAATTTTTTATTTGACTGAACCTCAATCCTGTTGTATTGGCTTTGAATGGCCTTTTCTGAATGATATAATGTATAATAATAAATATTGTGTTTCTTTTTTTGAGTATGGGATTCATTTTAATCGCAAATCATGTTACAAATAACATTTGACCCATTAAAACACTTCAAAATTCTGTAGATTTTATTGTCATGAAGATACCACATTAATACAGAATTCAATATGAAGGAAGCAAACATCACATGACATGCATACTGAACTCATTAATAATCATCTAACAACAGTAACTGGGTCAGTAGGCAGACATGATCTATTACATCTGTTTTCGGCAGATGCCAATTTATCAACCTCACACACAAAGCCACACGTATTCATTTAAAGACAAAAAGGTGTTTCATATTCCCACAATAGAATCCCACAGCCTGTGACATCATCTGTTTCTCTTCGCTGCTGATTGGCTGAGGGGGTCGCGAGGTCTCACCGTGGCTATTTAGTGTGATAATGGCGTTTGACGACACAGGATACAAACACCATTGTCACACTCCACAGCTCAGGAGGACAACAAACAGACAGACAGACAGACAGGAACATTGCAGGTTTATAACATTGTTTGTGCTCATTCCAGAAGTAGGTTTATCAACTGTTGTAAATTGTAACACTATACTTTTACTTTATTGTATGGTCAGAATATTGAATTCGTCTTAATGTTTCATAATCTCATCTAAACCCGAACAGCAACTTTCACTTAAATGAACAAGGCCAAGATAGGTCGCCCTTTCCCCCCTTCTCTTTCAGTCAGCAGTCGATTATCGTCTTCCGTTTACATGTTGGTCAGTGGAGTGGACGGTGATGGGAACAGTGCAGATGGTTTCTTCTAAACCATCGTTTGTTATCATATATTATTATTGAAAAATTTAAATATGTCGTAACAATAAAGTAACCTTAGAAACAACAACCTTCATAACTTAAAGTTCTGCTAAATGTTTCGATTGCCACTCCATTGTTTTATATGGAATATTAAAATGTCATGTACAAGAATATGACTAAGGCCATGCATAATTTTTCAATATAAGCATCATGAAGTCAGTGTCATGATCCTTCAGAAATCATTCTGATATGCTGATCTGATGCTCAAGGAACATTTCTTATTATTATCAACGTTAAATGATGAATAGAAAGTCCAAAAGAACAGCATTTATAACACTAATAAACATTATATTTTTGTTTCTGGAAATTAAATACATTTTAACTAAATAAAACTATAAAATAATAATATAATTAATTTTTATTTCAGATAGTTGCCAAGCCTTCTATTTTGGTGTACTTAAATAATCAAACAAATAAACATCAATAAAAACTATAGACTAAAAAAAAAAAAAAAAACGACATCAAAATTACTAACCCTAACCCTAATATAAAAAATATTCATGATATAATTGTATCTCAATGCTACAAAAATAACAATAATTTACGGTCAATTTTCAATCAGTTTCATGCATCCTTGCTGAACAATTTTATTTTTATTTTTTTATTATCCATCAAGGTCCATGGATTGAAAAAAATGGTTGGAAATGTCTCTTCTTGAACTCTTTTTATTAAACTACTGACTGACACTTAATAATTGTCTAGATCTTCATTCTACTTTTACAAAGATTTAACGTTAGAGTTATGTAGCCTAAAACTTAGTCACTTTTGATGTACAAACACTCACTGACCCTTTTGTTTGCATTAAATAAGATGCAAATTGTAAAAAGCAATAATTTTGTTGTTTATGAATCGTTTCTAATCGTAATAAATTTCCTCCTGAAAAAAAAAAGACTACCTTAAATATTAATAAGCTCAACTGATTGTTTATTTTTGACATCATATCCTTTCTCAGAGTTTCTGTGGACAAGTTGACTTACCACAGACCCTGTTTTGCAAAGTTGACTGATCCACGTGTTCCTCCATGCTGTAGGAATAAAGAGAGCACTGAAAAAGAAACACTTCACAAAACAATCTCTCAGTGAACTACAAACACTATGTAGAAAACACTCACACACTCTTATATCCTCTTGCAGGGTTCCTCAATCTGCAAGAAAACGAGAAACAAGTCCAGTCTCTGAACCGAGTTTGCCATGACTGGTCATTCTGCTCTCCTTAAACCTCCCTATATGTACCTAGAGAGGGTTTAGTTAAACAGTTTTGTGATAAGCTTAGAGAAGTATTGATCCGCAGTGACGTGGGGACGAGGTCACTAACCCAAAACCTGAGTGCTTATGAAAAAAAAAAAAACTTTTGAAAAGCAATTTCCAGTAAGCATTCTTATATATGCACCAGCAATATATCAGACATCTGTACCCATGAAAACAATCATGCGATATAAATAGTGGTAAGACGATCTGAAATGCTTTGATAGGCCCTTGAATCAGTGATTAAAATATATGGCTATTGATTTGGTCAGCCCAAATATTTCAGCAGGTGCAAAAGAAAGATTTTTATTCCATTCAAATCCACGTAACATAACCGTCTTACCTAATGTCCACCACAGTGAAGCAGTCAGGCCTGCCGCAGTGTTACATTAACTCAAGCTCATTCTCTGAATAGGTGCAGGTGAGTTTGGAGCTGGACTTGTTTGCGATTGCTGAAAGAGAGCGCTTGATAAAGTGTACAGGACAGCAAGCCGCTTTTATTTGCTTGTCCTTGGATCTGATAGCTGGCCGATTGCATGTGTGAATGAACTGAGTTTCCTTCACCGCTTAGCATCACAGCTGCACACATGGCATGAGGCTCTGCTGAGCAACATTCATGGAGAAATGACCAGACATGATTTTTGACACACCATAAATCAACCGTTTAAAAAAACAAATACGTTTTTGAAATGTCATCATATAAAAAAATATAATGCATATTAATCATCAATTGGTATTGTGAATAATATAAGCATAATTCATGTTAAATAATATGCAATTATACTATTATAAGAAATTTGTAATATAAAATATTTTACAGAATTGTTTTGGCTTGTAATTAACCAAAAAAGTTGCAAAAACTATGACTTGACAGGATTCAGGCACATAAAAATAATATTATTTGATTTAAAATTAAAGTGAAATTTGAAAATGTTGACATCGTCCAAAAAAAGACAACATTTATCATTTATATGCAGTCATTCAGAACTTTGGGGTTAGTAAGATTTTTTTTTTTTTTTTTAAGAAATCTTTAAGAAATGTATGTTTATTCAGTAAGGATGCATTAAATTGATCAAAATTGACAGTAAAGACATGTTACAAAAGATTTCCTTTTCAAATATTATATATATATATATATATATATATATATATATATATATATATATAAAAAAAAAAACTAAAATCCCCCCAAAAATATATCATAATGTCCACAAACATTTGAAGCAGCATAACAATATTCAACATTGCTAATAATAATAATAAATGTTCCAAATCAGCAAATTAGAATGATTTATGAAGGATCATGTGACACCGAAGACTGAAAATTCAGCTCTGTCATCAAAGAAATATACAGAATTTTAAAACATATCAAAACTGTAATAACTTTCACAAATGTAAAGAACTATTTAACTGTTTTTACTTTATATTTAAACAAATAAATGCAGCCTTGGAAAACATAAAATACTTCTTTAAAAATATTTTAAAAATCTTACCAACCCCAAACTTTTGAAAACTAGTGTACTGTATTTAAATTACTAATATGTAGCCTCACACAATTATATTTGATTTATAATTTATATTATGTATATATTTATTTATTTATTGTATATGCATGTATAATGAAAAGTTAAATCAGTCTCTTGTTTGACAATTATTTCTAAATATTTCATAAATGATGTAGGCTTGTAATGTTAAGCATAGAAGTAGAAAATCAGAGAAGTGGAAACCTTGAACTAGATTAAAAAGACTGAATGGCTGCCAGATTTGACCCGGTTAGCAGTGCCTGCAGCTTTGAAACAGGTCAAATCAACAGAACATTAACATTGCATATCTGTAAAAAAAGAAAAAAAAAAAAGAAAGAAAGAAAACCCCCACAGTATTCTCTTCGATTTCAGACAACCCAGTAAATGACAAAGCTCAGTTTATCTCAACCTTCAGCTTAAAATGAAACCTGGAATGAAGGGGAATTTACAAGCCACATTACAGTTAGAGAGGTAGAAATACCATGAATTAGTTTATAACATTTACCATGAAATCAATGTGAAGACGTACTACAGAGCCCCTGAAGGGACATGAGATTGGAGGGAATCGATTCTCAATGCTTTTGCTCTCAAAACATTTGCTTTCAAAAAAGTTTTTCCAGGGAACGCTAATGTTTCACGAGCGAATGCAAAGTTTCTCGGGTGAATGCAAAGGTTTTGCGAGCGAAAAGTTTCTTGGGGGACACAAAAGCATTGACAATTTGTCTTCCCATCTCATTTTTTTTTATCACCGTGTTCCTCTAGGGGCTCCGTAAAATCCAAACCCATTTGACACACAAATTTAAATAAGATTTTCAATTTTAGTTCCCGCATTTATGCCAAAACATTTAGAGATTTTTGGGATAAAACGACAACACACCTAAATTCCATTTATCAGTTTATTTCGAATGACGTTATACGAATTGCAAAGTCTCATGGTGAGCAGGAACCAGACAGTAAATGTTCCTCATCAATAAAAAAAGAACTGCCCCTACAAAAGAGGAAGGGTCATTTATAACAATAATCATAATGTTATCACAAACCTACAGACCCACAAGCGGCCTGAAAAGTGTGAGTGGGGAGGCGTACAGAAAAAAGAAAAGAAAATGGAAAAAGTCTGAAGTCTTACTCCAGGTGGAGCTCGTTCCTACAGAGCTGATCCAGACGTCAGTCAGGCTGACTCCAGATCAGCTGTAGGGAAGAGCTGTGATCTGATATGTTAGCAGCAGGCCGATTATAAACAATAGATATTGCACCAAGTAACTGAGTGCTTTAAAAAAAAAAAAAAAAAAAAAAAAGATAAATCACATTCAAGTTGACAAAAAAAAAACAGGTGACATGACCCTAGTGTGTGATCAATAAAGTGCCCTTATAGGTACAGTGGTGTTAGAAGAAACAAGATAGAATGAAAGAAAGACAGACAGAAAGAAAGAAACGTTTACGTCCTGAAAGTCTACGAGACTTGCAGTGTTGAATCACAGCGCTTTTAAGATAGCTACACTCCGTGTCGCTCTTTAATACTTCCAACAGATTTAACACGTACAGTAAAAGAGTCCAACCGCGTCTTTCCCCAAAACAAACTCATTTACAGCATTATGAACAGGTTTAATCATAATTAAGAGAAGAACAATACTTATTACAATTGAAGAAAACCCTCTCTGACAAACTCGTTTACATGTCCGATGCATGTCCGTAACGGTTTTTCCGATCTTTGCTCTCAACCAAGAAGGAGAATAGCTTTATAATTACTACGTAATCATATTGAAACACAAGATACATGTTCATGCCAGTTTTCATAGCAATACAATAATCATGGTTGTTTGTTTTTTTGTGTTTTTTTTTTTTACCCACGATGATATGGATATAGCCAGGCAATTGATGCATTTTCAATAACGTTGTTTAAAATAGTAAACCACATTGTTGGTACAAATATCCGTTTACTCGGTAAGAATGACAACAGTATCATAATAACAGCGATAATAATAAACTATTAAAAACAATTATCAACATCTCGTTGCTTCTTGGCGTTGCAAAAGAAGATAAAAAATAATCCTTGACGAAGGAAGGGGACACTTGGCGAGCTTTGCCGGATAAGGGAGGATGAGGATGCGCCCTTCATCCTGGCTGTGTTTCCTAAGGTAATCTGGTGTAAGTAAGACCTGATAAGAGAGTCCATTGTTGCCTCTTCACTGAACTTTTATTATGTTAATGCAAAAATGGGATTGATTGCAGTGGTTTTTATGCTGTATCAAGGCCACGCCCACTCTGAGGCCACACCCACTGAGGCCTTCAAACACTGAAGTTTCGTTTACTGTCAATATAAAAGTTGCCGTGGCCTCAGAGCTGGATTTAAAAATCAAACGTGTTGGGAGAGAACATGATTTGTGGGATACTGCAGGGCTGTTTGGCGTCAAAACTCGTTCGCAGCCAATGGCGTTCCAGCTAGACAGATACATGCATATACCGTGTGCTGACATCACACACACACACACATGCGACCGCTGGGTTCTGGCTGTACAATGGCAACTCGAGAGTGTGTATATGTGAGTATAGATGTGTGCGTGTTGTACATGTCTTTGCTCGTCGGTTGCATTGGGAGATGGTGTGTATATGAAGGTGTGTATTCTTTAGTCGACGCCTTCAAAGCCTTGGGCGTTCTCCACCGCCATCAGAAGCTTCTCTCGCAGGTCTTCAAACGACTCGTACGTCGGGAGGTCCAGGCGATTAAAGCTGAGCGGGAAGAAAATGTACCAATCAAAGAAATGAATGAAACAGAACAGAGTTATGCCGTTTCAGAATATTACCAAAATGTGTTTGTTTTATGAAATGGAAACAAAGAGAATATATATTGATGTTCTTGATTATATAATGTCGTGGTCAAATCCCTCGAGGTCTTACCAGGTGTGAGCACGAGGGAGCTTTTCAGGTGTCCCCCACTGCTCGATAGTAAACAACTGCGGCCCATTGGAACCTGTGGAAGATCACATGACTCATCAAGGACCAATCAGGGAAGGAGCTATTCTATGGGTCTCAAAGGGCAACACTAAATAGCTGCTACAAACATCTTATATACTGTATTCATTAAACTGTCAAGAGAAATTATACTACAATACTAGTGACATTTTCTGAAATATTGTTTTAATATTATACTATAATAATTTATTAGCTAAATATTTAGCTTATGTAGTTATACGTTATGATGTCATATGATACTGTATGTTATATATTATGTTGTGTTATTTGATATGATATGTTGTTATGTTATATGTTGTTATGTTATGATATATTACCTGTTGTTGTATGTTGTTATGTTATATGTTACGTGTTATATGTTATGTTATAACATCTACATATATAAATCATCTACCGTAGAGTTCAGCAAAGCCGTTCATTGGCACTCTGGATGTTCCGGTGACAAACTGCAAAAGTCTGATCCTCTTTTCGGCATCCATTAACAAAACAGCCTGAGTAGAGATAAAGAGAGACACGGTTAATACCAATAACATTTATCTGTTTATGCTAGCGGCATTGAAAAGAGGTCTTGCGCGTTCAACACTGGTTCCCCTACACGGTTGTTTCAAGGACGTCTTCTTAAAATAAATATCCTCATTTTTCCCAAAAAACTCCACTTAAAGCTTTTTCTTTTGTTTTGTTAATGTGCACAAAAACCGACCCAGTGAATTAGGATATGTTAAAAAATAATTCATAATACCCCAAAACATTTTATATCTAAATACATAAAAAAATCTTTGTACATTTTTAATGGTTTGCCTTTGCAAATAGTGTTTAGTGTTTATTTGTTTGCCAGCTGAGCAACTGCAACTGAAATAAATTGAAATAACATATAGATATTTAGAAAGAATGTAGAAAGAGCAAGTCTGGCTCCAGACTGCTGATAAGAAGTTCCTAATGACTCTTTCATCAGAGCAAACACTCGATGAGCCTCACATCAAACAGACTTTGATCGGCAACTGCCCTGCGGTGTACTTGGCATGGGGTCAGAAACACTCATGCACACAAAAGTTGACACACTTGACTTTTTCGTGATATTTGAAATCTTTTGATCTAAAGGACTGTGTTTAAATGCCTGAAATTAATTTTGAAGAAAATATGCATTCATGCCTAAATAGTTTTATACTTATTATATAAAAAAAAAATGTACGAAGCAGAAAACAAGTGTCAGAACTCCTTCAATACTGATTAAAAAGCACCCCAGGATGCACTTCTTTAAGTTAAAGGTACACTATGTAACTTTTTTTGTTCATAATTAACAAAATGAAAAAAATGAGTCACTACGTTATCAATCCTTTTTCCAAAACGTGTTTTTGTCTTACCCTGATTTACTATGGTAAGCCTATTGTAAGTGTGTATATTTTAGCCCTGTCAGGATGGTTTTCACTGGAAATTGCGTACATGTCACTAGTCATATCGGTAAATAGAGAAAAGTTGCTCCGGCTACTCTGAAGTATGTAGCGTGTTGGAGTAGCAGGTTAGTTGTCACAACGAGCGAGAAAGGTTGACATGGAGGAGCTAAATCACCAGGGAAAAAACAGGGAATCACCCGTTAAAAAAAGGCCAAACAGAAGAGTATGCTGGCAAAAAGAGAGCGCGACAGAGCTCGTAATAAAACAACTATCAACATTGGCTTGGCTTTTCAGAGATGGCACTAACTGAGGATATTGAAATAATGTAAAAGTGTATAGTAAAATATATGTAAAATAAAGTTAAATAGTGTACTTTGAAGATGAAATATAAGATCGTTTTAATTTGTTAAACATTTTTCAGTGACTACATTTGTCTTCTTTCATAGTTCAGATGACTTTAAAATTGTTATAAATGTAGAAATAGTAATAATAAAGAATTACTAGTAGGTGTAACCAAACTTATATTGCACACACACACACAGAGCCAGTTTGTTCTACACACCTTCCAGAACCACTGGATCACAGGGTGATTAGGACAGTAGCCATTCTTATAAACAGTGTGCTGCCTCCAATCATTGACATCCACGTCTCCCAGACCACACATCAGCAGCTGGAGACAGAGAACACGGCACATTAAACAAACACCAACCCACATCTTTACCTTCATTATCCTCTAGATAATGATATATATATTTTTTTTTTACTTTACAAAAGATAAGTACTTTATCTTATTTGTTTACTTTATTTATTTGGAACTAGAAATAACATTCATAAAATATAAATCAGGCATTAGTACAAAAACAGCTTCACATCTGTCAAATCACGCAGAGGATACACTGCGGTATAAATAGTAAAGCAGCAGAACCTCTACTGGCTAATAAAGACAGGCGTTGCATTATATACCATGGTATAACTGTCTTTATTAGTTTTTTATTATTTGCCACTATGACGGGCATACAGTTAGCTTCCCCCCACTATGCAAACAACAGCCTGGACATGGACGCATTATCCTGTGCTCATGTGAGAAGAGCTGATTCATTCAACAAAACAAGAATTTTTGGCTCTCTTATGAAGTGTACGTGTATTATTCTATGGAAGTCTTGGACATGGAGGATGCAGTCTCCATGACAACGGCACACACTGAGTAATGGGTATGTGGGAAGTTGTTACCTCCAGTTCATTTTCGTCAAAAATCTTTATCAAGTCGATGGGAATGAGCTCGGTAAATCCCTGTGAAACGGATATGAGAAACATGATCAAAACATTGCATGTCATTATAGCACGCCGGCATGCAAGTATTATGAATATTCTAACTTCTGCTACCACCTAGTGGCATTAGTTGGAATTATAGATAACTTTTGATTGTGCAAGGAATTTGATCACGTACTTCCAAAAAGGCGTTCATCTGTTTCTGCACCCTGTTCACAAACCGCCACTGAATCACCAGGCTGTGCAGAGCCAAAAGAAAAGACATTGTTAGTATAAGAAGCCATATGTAAGATTTTTACATACAGAGCAAAAGCGCAACTCACTCTATGTATTCTTTTTTGTTGTCATTGGTTACAACCATGTCTGATCCGCTTGGCTTCAAATCCACCTGATATGTCTATAAATATACATATATAAAAAATGTATAAACATATATAAATAAATAAATAAAAACATTGACAAAAAATATTACAATTACATAAATGACTAAAATTAAATGAAATCTAAAATAAACAGACATTTAGAAACATGATGGTGTTACCTGTCCAAAGTTGTCCTCATCAATGCAGAACCGCAAATCCAATTCTGTGGGGTCGTTTTCCAGAATCCACTTTAGGGAGTTGTAGTATTCACTGTCCTACATAGTGTACATGAACATAAAACATGAGAAAAAAGTATATATACTGTATATATTCATATTATTAACATTGTAATCAACACCTCTAAACAACTTATGGTTACAGTAATAACTATAAATTATGCATAATTACATGCAACTAACCCTAAACCAAACCCTAACCCTATAGGCAGAACATGTAATATTACAGTAGTATTACTCCATTATTGTTAAAAAATGTATCTAAATAATCTAATCTAGCCCCAACCCTATAGTAAGTACATGTAGGTAATTAATATTACTCGGACCTTAAATGTATATTTAAACTATAACAAGGACACTTAAAAAATAAAGTGTAACCCCATTATTCTCTATGAACTATTACTCTTTATACTGTAATTAATATTACTCAGTACTTAAACTTATACTTACACTGTAATACGGGTTACACTTTATTTTAAGGTGACGTAGCTACATTGTACTTACTCAAATAAGTATTGAGTAAAATTAATTAACTACATGTACTTCTTATAGAGTTACGGTTAGGGTTTGGTTTAGGGTTAGTTGCATGTAATTATGCATAATTTACTGTTCTTACTAAAGCAAGTACATGTACATTAATAACGTGCAACTAGGTCACCTTAAAACAAAGTGTTACCAAATAAAGTGTTACCAAATAAAGTGTTAACCAACATTTCAATGACAAATCTGTTTTATAAAGTTTTTGCATTGTGCCGCTATGGGTTATCTCTTAAAATTGGTGTACATGTGTGGTAACGCACCACTGACTCCATATCATTCAGGGTGATCTGTTTGCCCAGCATCATTTTATAGAACGGTCGAATAAAAAAACCTGTAAAACAAACAAGAACAACACATTTCTGTTTTCAACAGGGGAAAGAAACTACAAATCAAACTAAACCCACAAAAAATAGCTGATACCATGATATTTATCAAAAGTGAACAATACAAAGAAAGAAAACGTCGGTAACACTATTTTAAAGAGTCATTGTTACATATGTTACATGTAGTTAATATAGTAATGACTAATACAAATTATGCATAATTACATGCAACCCTATAGGAAGTACACTTAATATTATTAACATACTTAAATGTATAATTACAGTGTAACAAAGACACCTTAAAATAAAGGGTAACTAAAAACATCACGTGAAAAAGCTTCTGATCGGCTCCTGAAGGTCCCCAGCTTACCATCCAACAGCTTGCCGTGATACACAGCCATTCCAGCCACCCGACCAATGAACTTGAAGTATGAGAGGTGATCCTCATTGCACAGGCCGGAGTTTGGATTGATCTGAAGGGTGTAGTTATCTCTGCAGAAAGACAGATGGGAGACGGTAAATGAATGAATTATTATGCCAGCTCTGCTGTGTCCCGTAATGAGTGTCAAGTGGGAGAGATCTAACAAGATAACAGACCAGCTCTGTAAAAGAGCAATAGCAGAGAGATAGACAGATGTGCTGGTATATGGTAATACGATATATCGTGATAATGAACATGCACGATATTGTAATCGTGAATACTTCAAAATACCGTGAATAGTTATTTATTACGAATTATTCTGATTTATTTGAATGCATTTTAAGAATCATTTTCCCATCAACTGTTTAAAATGCACCGCTGTATGCTGCGTCAAAGAGGCACGCACACTCTGATGTGAACAAGCCCAACACGGATGTGAAGCGCATGGCGGAACGAGTGAATGAGACGCACTGAATAAAAAAGCACATTCACTCTCAGACAGCAGGTGGCGCTGACGGAACAGCAGACATGCAGCCGTTTTCACGGTAACCCCGTAAACAAAGCAGCTGCGCTACTTTCTGTTTCTGAACAGCATTTAAATGTTTTAAAAAGCCATTCAGATATTTGT